GTGGACTGATCTCCTGATGTCAATTGCCATTTGCTGCTCCTCTGACACGGGGCCACCAGCAAGTCTGTGCACATATTAGAAAAAAACATCTGGTGACTAGAGATAAAGATGATCTTTCTAGTAAGCAGCTGTGTTAGCACAAAGGCGGCTATCTACCCCTGGGTGTATTTCCCTTTGCAGGCGACGGGGAAGTTCTCAGGAGCTTCGAAACTGCTGCATATTTGTGTGTCAGGGAGCAGGGGACTGTGCAAAGTGAAGGAGAGGGGTGTTTCTTCTGAGAAAGTCTCAAGGAAAGAGGCCGGCTGGGGATGCCCAGAGAACAAAGCAAACAGGGAGGGTGAAAACTGCTCTCTGCGTACAAAACTGGAAAATGACTTGTTTTAGTGGCCCAATCCCATAAACCAGAATCTACATATTTTCCTCTTTTGTTGGCATATAAACAATTTCTACCACGAAATTTTTACCCACGAGGGTAAAACACATCACTTGTTTACTTTTGCACACACGTGTGTTTTTGATTTCAGTACTCTTTGTTTAGATATTTCTTAATTGAAACTCCTTTGCAATCAGAAAAAGGACTATCTTATGTTTTATGTGGATGTGTGTGTGTGTGTGTGTGTGCGTGTGCGTGTGCGTGTGCGTGTGAGTTTATATGCACCACATGTGTGCAGGTGTCTGTTGCGGCTAGAAGACACCAGATTCCCTGGAACAGGGGTTAGAGACAGTTGTGAGCTGCCTGATATGGGTTCTGGGAAGCAGACCCAGGCCATCTGAAAAAGCAGTACATGTTTTTAACCACCGAGCCAGTCTCCAGTCCATCCTTTCCAATTTTTAAGGAAGAAACTCACCATTTATGTCAGGAGCCACCTTTTGGGGGTGACTTCTGCTGGGATCCTAGCTGTGGCAGGTTTGTGCGTTTCAGGGTAGGAGTGTGAGGGTTAGAAAAAACGTAAGAAGCACACACAGAGACATTGGATAGTACCAGGAAGGCAACTCAGTGCCTCCAAGTACTGAGTTCACCCGCGTTTATTTTTCACTTTTATACCCCAAAACAAAGTGGGGAAGAAGGCAAAAGACTGCTTTAACATGATACAAAGGACAACCAGAACAGTCATTTGCTCCAATACTTAAGACTTCAAGTCATTAATTCTTGAGAAAAGTATTTGGTGTTTGGGCAGTGAACCCACCCTAGATCAAATATCCTGCAAGCAGCCACTCCCTAGTTCAAACCTCCTATTTCACAGGGAGGAGCAGAAGCAAGCTTGAATTCTCTGACCTTTGGTCAGGGTGGAGCAGATCTACCTCTACGGGCCAAATTTCCAAAACACCAAGTAACCGCGTCTTGGGTTAGGATATCTTGTTTTGTAGCCACACCTGTCAACAACTTTGAATAAGCTCAGACTTTCCGACCTCCTGACGATGTGGAACAGGTTCACATTTTTGGGTTCCCACACATTTAGCAATCAGTACTGGGCTCTCAAAAACATTATCAGACTTTTCATGCTCTGAAATGTCCTGCCCGTAGATGAGAGTGTGTCCTTGCCGTCTGAGATGGCAGGTTCCCTACAATGATCTGGGCTAACCTTAGCGAATCCTTATCAGTGTCTTCCACCCAGTGTCCTGGTACAGCTGAGCACATGAAGATACTTAAGCTCTCTCAAGAGATGAGTCCAAAGTCCATTCTAAGTCCAGCTGTTGGGGGACTGAGCTGCCCCCTACTGAGTTCAGCCTGTTTGTCCTTGCCATGGAGGGGTTTCAGAGTTCAGATTGCTAAATCTGCACTGCACTTTTATTTCTGAAAGATTTTTACATAATGTATATGTGTGTGCTTCTGTCGTGGCTCTGTGTACATTTGTGCATTTATTCCTGGAAGCCAGAGGCATTAGATCCCCTGGGACTAGAGTTACAGGTGGCTGTGGGAACTGAGCTAGAACTGTCTGCAGATTAGGAACCTCTTTTGACCACTGAACCATCATCTCTTCAGCCTTAGACAACACTTTTAATCATTTCGTATTACTTTTTTTTTCCTTTGAGATAGGGTCTTTCTCTGCAGCCCTGCCTGCTCTGGAACACACTTTGTAAACCAGACTGGCTTTGAACTCACAGAGATCCACCTGCCTCTGCCACTATGACTGGCTTCTCTACAGTTTTACTGAAGCACAAATGTATTGAAGGAAATAGGAAAGAGCCAGGATTGCAGAGCTGGGGGTGGGTGTTCCTCCCTTAGCTGAGCTTGAATACCCCATAGTTTACTGCTATATGAAAACCCCCAATCAGCTCTGCTACACCAGACACAGGGGGGAGCCTGACCCTGTAGGACTGGGCCCTGCACAGGCGTCAAGGATCTCAAAGACCAGTCCAGCAGGGAGCGTGAACTTTTCCACAGCAAGTGCCGTCTAAAGACAAACTGTGGAGTTAGGTGCACCCAAGGCATTTGTCTGTGTGTTGTGGATGCTATCATGGAAAATTCCAGAGGATTTAATGCCTCCATCTGAAGGCAAGGTAGTAACCAGCTGCTGCTATTCCTTTTGTGTCAACTTTTGAGTATTCGATTTCAACTTCCTTCATATCTGTTGGCTATGTCTGGAAGATAAGTGAAGTGTGCTCCCCATGTGTCTACGAGGATTTACTACGTGTGAAAGACCTGACCTGAATGCAGGCACCATGTTCTGATAGGCTGGGAGTCATAGAGAAAAAAGGAATCAGCAAGCTAGCTAGTGTGGGCATATCCCACCCGACCCCTGGCTTCCCGGCTGTCACGATGTGAGCAGCTGTCCCAAGTGCTCTCCACCACGATGAGTGGAAAACCCTAAAACTGTGGGCAGCGTAAATTCTGCCCTCCTTAAATTGTTTCTTAAATTGTCGCAGCAATGAAAGTCTAACACATGCGGGTGGTGCTGTCTGGGGAGACTTGGGAGGTGTGGCCTTGTTGGAGGAAGCATGTCACTGTGTGTGTGTGTGGAGGGGGGGACAGCTCTGGGAGCTTAAAGACTCCTGCCATTTTGAATTTGCTCTCCCCGCTTCCTGCTTGCATAGTTCAAGATGCGAGCTCTCATCTTGCTACTCAGCCATCATGACTACTGTTTTCTGCCATGACAAATTCCTAGAACCATAAGCCCAAATAAACCGTGTCTTTTAGAAGTCTCTTTGGTCACAGTGTTTATCACAGCAACAGAGAAGCCACTAATACATATGAATAAGTAAAATGACAGGCCAATTTAATTTATGAATATAATACAAAATAATACATAGTAGTGAATAGATGCACAATGTATTGAAGATTCATCTGCACCAAATAAATCTTACTCTGAAGGACCCCAACTCGCTTTAACCACAGTCATACCATTCTTGCAAAGGATGAGCAAATAACAAGCTTAGCTCAGGACCTCCGGAATGCCGAGCAAATAACAGGCTTAATTAAGGGCCTCCAAAGATACCTGAGAATTAGAGCAAGGACAGCCTTATCTGGCTGCAAGACAGGGATTTATGAACTGGCCATAGAAACAAAGAGAGAGGATTGCGAGGCCTGAGTCACGTATAAAGCGGGGCTCTTACGAGTCAGGGGCTGTGCAATCAGACATCTGGTCACCAGCCAGGAAGGCAGAAAGAGATAAGAAAAACAGGTAGCACAACCCCCTCCTTGGTATCCAGGTGGTTCTGGACAACCCCCTCCTTGGTATTTAGGTAAAAGGTCAAGAATGTGCCACTCAGCTTAGCCTTATTTAAATTGACCAATGAAATGAATCCCCGTAACCACCCTGCATCTTGCTTCTGTAAACCTCACTTTTTGCTCTCCTATAAGAACCCCTCACCCCCAACCTGCAGGCGCGCAAGTCCTCCGAGAGACTTTGCCGCCCCAGGTACCTGCGTATCCAACCAATAAACCTCTTGCAGTTTGCATCCGGCTGCATGTTTTCGACTGATCTTTGGGCATGGGGTCTCTCCCGAGGGAAGACGCCCACGGGAGTCTTTCAACTCCAAAAATTTTAAGGTAGCATTTTAGATTTTTCTCAACATAGTTTATTTCTTTAGTAGATTAAGTAAGTAAATATGATTATATCAATAATTGCTGCTGAGGTACTAGTGCAAATCATGAAATATATATGTGGGAACTGACAGGTTTATTTACAAAATTTTTCTTTGGTGAATTTTTGAGACAGGGCTTCTCTGTGTATCCCTGGCTGCCTGGAACTCATTCTGTAGAGCAGGCTAGCCTTGAACTCAGAGATCTGCCTGCTTCTGCTTCCTGAGTGCTAGAATTAATAAAAGCATGCACTACCGCCACCACCTGGCTAATTTTTATTTGTTTATGTGGGTGTTTTGTCTGTGTATGTCTGTGTCACATTCATGCAGTGCCTGTGAAGGCCAGAAGAGGGCATCAGATCTTCTGGAACTGGAGTTACTGATGGGTATCGGTGGCCATGTGGAGGCTGGGAATTATCCTGGGGTCCTCTGGAGGAGCAGCAAGTGCTCTTAATTGCTGAGCCATCTTTCAAGTCCTTAACAAGTTTATTTAAAAAAATTATTGTGGTATCTAATTAATACCTAAATCTAAAAAATATTGTGGTATCTGAGAAAAGTTGAGAAAAAGTTTTAAGGAGAATAAAGAATTTCTCTACAGAGTTTTAGGGTTGGCTTTAAAGGTATAAGAAAACCATCAAGGTATGTAAGAGCAGGCACAGGCTTTGCTCCTGGCTAAGTGGCCTGTCCCCAACCCACTGTCTCTGCCATGAAAGCTGCAAACTCTTTACCTCAACCTACCAATCTGCCATCTCTTTTTTGGTCCATATTCTTCCCAGAATCCGGAGCCTTGGTGTCTAGGGGTTGCCTCTCAGTCATCTTTTTCTCTGACTTCTACTTTTCCTGGATTATTATTATTTAGTTAGTTAGTTAGTTTTGGTTTTTCGAGACAGGGTTTCTCTGTAGCTTGAAGCCTGTCCTGGAACTAGCTCCTGTAGACCAGGCTGGCCTCGAACTCAGAGATCCACCTGTCTCTGCCTCCCAAGTGCTGGGATTAAAGGTGTGCGCCACCACCGCCTGGCTTTTCCTGGATTATAATAAAGGCATATTGGTAGTAAAAGTAACTCCCCCCATATTTATTGAGTTTTTTTTTCATGATAGATGTATGATCATTCTTGGTAAATGGATGAGGGAAGAAAATGACTCTCTGCTTAGAGTATAAAGTTATAAAATAGCGAATCCTTCATCAGCATCTTCCACCCAGTGACTTGTCACAGCTATGGGCATGTAAATGGTATCACAGAAACATTTCCAAGCGATATAATCCGAAGTCCATTGTAAGGTGAGCCCAGATTCTATTTCCAGGAATAGAACAAATCAAACCATCTACAGTCTTCCTTTTTTCATTCTGCTAAGTCATGTATCATTTTATGACAGGGAGAAATTCTGAGAAATTCATTATTAAACCATTTTGTCATTATGTGAATATCCCAGAGTATATTATACAAACATAGACGGCATAGCCGCTGACCCACCTAGACTATTTTTATAATTTTATGAGTGGTCACTGTTGTTTACATGGCTAGGTGACTAAAACGTGACCTCATTATCAGTGTGTTTTTCTGGAATGTGGCTATTTTCCTTTAGCCAAAACTGTGCAAGCAACTGGGGTGGTTGTTACTTTGGGCAAAGACTTCACAAACTATTGAGCAATTGTAAAATCTGAGTGAAAATGGAAATGTGAGGATAGATGGGATGTGTTGATCATAGGTCTGGAGCTATCTTTTCACACTCTATTCGCCTTCTCAGTGGCTGGGCCTGGATAGAGTTTCAGCCCTACGGCTCCACGGAGTGGTAGAAGGAGAACCAAGGCAGAGTTTGAATGCTGAAGATGAGTGCAGGGACACCACACTGACCTGGACCCTTGTTTTCAGAATTGATTAAAATGCAATAAATGTGTGTGTGTGTGTGTGTGTGTGTGTCTTTGTGAGGCTATAAAGTTTGTCCCCCTTGAGTACAGTCTAGGAAGATAGAGTTACCAAACTCCTGGTAGAAGAGGCACAGAGCTGTAAGCCTTCCCTAGTCGTGGGGCCCTGATGCCCTTGTAGACTCAAGCTTGTGACCTGATGTGATAGGCCTGACGTGGTGATGACGGGTCAATGGTCCAGTGAGGATGGCAGAGTGAGGCTGGACTGTGGAGCCCTGGCTGCAGCTGCCCTTCCTCTTCTCTGACGGGGGTGCCCTTGGAGTCCTCCTTAGTAGTGGACGCAGTAGAGATGGACACTTCCACTGATCCTGAGCTCCCGTAGGTGCTCCAGGGCTTTCTGGTCCAGGCTGGTGGCCCCCAGCCCTTGCCCATTGAGTGCCAGCTTCAGCCCTCCCTCCTGGCACAGAAGCAGTACCTGGTAAGAAGAACCTGATTGGGTGGTGGGCTTCCAGACAAATCCTCCTCTAATGAGGGGACACAATGATCAGAGACAGTCAGGTCCAGGGGTTAAAGTTCACCATCTGCAATGTTGCTTTCCACTGGGAAATGTTCTCAATCCTGGTTACACACTGGAGCCATAAAGGGAGCTCGAGATCAGGTCTCATGCAGCTCAGGCTGGCCTCAAACTTCCTATGTAGCTGAGACTAGCCTTGAGCTCCCGATCCTTCTGCCTCTACTTTCCAAGGCCTGGCATTACAGGTGTTCTCTATCACACCTGGCCATTAGAGGCTTAGGGGAGCTTTTAAAGACAACGGATGCTTGGCTCCACCTGCATTCATTATGCCTGTGTTTCTGGGCCCAGCATCTCTGGCGTCAGTATACAGGACTGAAGGCCAATGTCTGGACAGTCTCTCTGTGGGACTGGCCTAGCTACCTAGCTCCAGGGTATTGGTCTGCTCATCCATACTCGGATGTAGCCCATAGTCTTCCAGATCACTATGGGAATAGGCTCCAGGAGAGATGTGATGGCTCAGACCTACCTCGAAGAATCGCTGGGGGTAAAATAGGAAGGGGGCTGAGATCAGCTTCTTTCGCCCCCAGGAGGAGACCCAGGCCAGTGTTCTGTCTGTGAAGGAAGCTCTGAGTGTTACAGGAACACGGGTGGTCCCATCCCTCAGGCTCAGGGTGAAACTACAGGAAGCAGGAAGAGAAATGGATCAGTCTCTGTTGCCTTCAGGCTGTTGTATCTCTGAAGCAGAAGGCTGGAGGCAGAGAGCCTCTGGAAGATTGGCTAGCTTCCAAGAATTAAGTTTCTGTGTCAGGCTTTGGGAGGGACGCTTGGATACACAACAGCACAGAGGCATAGACAGTGCATGAATATCACACTTGAATCCCTGACTGGAAGCCTATGGGGGCGGAGCAATTACCTAGCTGGAGCCTCTGTTCATTGCTCTGAAAATGGGGAGAGCTGTGATCACAGCAGCAGTTAACATTTACCGTTGTGTCAGGTTGGATCCTAAGGCTGCAGGGATTATGCTCTGTAGCTTCAGAGCTGCAGCCCTGGACAAGTCTCTTAACCTCTGTGTTTCCTCGTCTGTAAATTAGGGAGGATAAGAGTGCTGTTCTCGTCTTGGGCTGTTAGAATTAAGTGAAAAAACATGTAAGTTGCTCGTGCATAACAGTAGACGAGTATGAAAATGGTACTTTGCTTAGAGTGTTATTACATACTACAGCATCTGTATCTTTTTAGCTATGTGTGTGTGTGTGTGTGTGTGTGTGTGTGTGTGTGTGTCCCCGTGTGCGCGTGCATGCCCACACACATGCCGGGACTAGAGGAGGGTGTCAGGTGTCCTTCTCTATTTTTTTCTGCTATTCCTTTAAAACAGGCTCCCTTGCTGAGCTTCTCAGTGAGGCTAGAGGCCAGCAGACTCCAGTGTTCTTCCTGTCTCTGTCTCCACGGGTGCTGGGGTTATGAGTGTACCTGGCTTGTTCCATGGGTGCTGACATCTGAACTCCAGCCCCCGTGTTGTTTTGGGAGAGCTCCTAGATGCTGAGCCATCTCTCCAGCTCCAGAGTTCTAATGGGCATCTAGAGGGAATCTCTTACCAAGTTTAAGGCTCTATTGAACATGGTCAGGGTGATATTAGGGGACACTGAAGCCTCTAGTCTAAATGGATCTAAGTTACAGGTCAGGGTTTGAGTATCCACTGGAGGAGAAGCCAGGAAGCACCCATTTCTAACTGCCTCTAGGTTCTGACTCCCAAGCACTTCCTTTCTAGGGTAGCTTGGTTGTTTCCTAAACCAAGCATTGTGAAAAGTAGGAGGCCATATCCCCTACCTGGGTCTCAACTGTAAAGGCTCTTTTCTGGGACTTGTGATGTTCACTCCATAGGGAAGCAGCACCCATGACTGGGACTACCGTTCCCAACCCCAACCCTGGTCACTATCTCTGCAATCTGGGCTAACTTACTTCTCTTTGCTTTAATAAGGGGCTAAATGGTGATGCTGGAAACTTAACCATAGGGCCCTTCTTTCCTTCTTTCCTTCCTTCCTTTTTTAGAAATTAAATACTTACTCTTTCGGCTCTTGCAAGACCAGTCCTCGAACTATGATGACTTGCCCAGGCCAGAGACCCCGAGGAAGAGTTCGTGAGCAGGGCACCTCCTGACAGAGATGGAAATCATAGGGGTGTCAGGGTCCCTCACCAGCAGGCTACCCTCAGGGATGCAGGGACACCAGGGTAGGTGAGTTTCTCTATAGACTTGCAGCTAGGAGACTCAGTCCTGCCCATATAGTAAGCACCTGTGGTAGACCTGCTGAGAGCTTCCTCAGGCCCCTCAGGTTGTGCTCAGTGTCCTAGTGCCTTTTACAGATGTGTTCTGAACTGTACCTAGCAGGCATGCGGTAGTTTGTCCCTCTGTCACCTATGGGCAACTGGAGGTCTGGGACTGGATGGATGGAACCCCATAGCCTAATGCTTGTCACTGACCCGGTCACAGGGAAGCATTAAATACCCATTTGCAGAGTAAGTGAAGAGGGTAAGATGAACCTGGAGTTCAGCCGAGAGCTACCTCACCCTCCCACTGATGTGGTGTTCCACAGAGAAAGGGAGTCCGGGAAGTCAGGGAGCTGAAATGGGACTACACTCTAGAAGAGACCTAGAACAGGGCCACTTACCAGTCTGGGGCTATACAGCAGGAAGGGCTGGAGGAGAGAAAGGCAGGGGAGGCTGTTAGCACTTGTCTGGGCAAAGAGGCCTTCCTACTTTGCTTGCATTGAGGGACACAGAGTTTGTGCCTCTCCTAGCAGCAGGTGAGTGATTGGGCTCCCGGTGGGGGATCCTTTGAATCTTAAGACACCCCTCTCTGAGTGGTACTGAAGGGGTGGAAGGAGAGTGGAGCTGCCACCCCACATCTCCAGCAAGGTCATGGGTCTCATTTCCCTTTTTTTGTCCTGTGAAGCCAACCACAATCATCTTGCAGGGTTGATCTGAGGAGCTAAAACTCCATGGAAAGTATCTGCCAATGGGCATCATGGGCCTCTGCAGGTAGCTAGATACTTTGGAGATAGGAGAGGAGAAGCAAATCCAGGCTTTCCAGGGACTTAAGGGAGTCAGGCATATTGCCGGTGTCCACAGCAGTGAGTCAAGGGTCTTGTGTGACCATGTGCGAGAGGACAGAGGCCAGCTGGCGTCTAAGCATGACTGTCCAGCCTTGCTCCCCAAAGACTCAGATATCTGTGCTGGGGAGCCATCAAGCCTGAAGATTGAGTTCCTTCCCTGGACACATGTGCTGTAAGAAAACTCCTACAAATTGTTCTCTGACCTCTACACATGCATGGTTTCCTCATCATACACACATGGACACATTATGTATTCACACACACAAAATAAATAAATGTAATTAAAAAAACAGGAGAAAGAAACTCACATATCCAACTGGATACTCTCTTCTGCCTTCCACAAATGGCTGTTAAGAAAGAAAAAAGAGCCACAAGTCTTTGGGACCACTGTAAGCCCCTGTCTGCGTCTCATGCCTTTTAAAGCTGGTGTGTTGAACATTTCTATTCCTGGCCCCACATCAGTCCAGGGCTGTTTTTGGTAGCACTAGGGTTTGAACCTAGGGCCTTGTGTTTGCCAGGGCAGTGCTCTACCACTGAGTCACACATTTAGCTGTATTTTGAATAAGTTAATAGTGTCTGTCTTTCAAACTGCAGCTTGCATGGACCCTGGTGTGCTGAATCCTTTGCCCCCTCAGTGACAAGCAGATTCCACCGACAGGAAAGATTCTTGGCTATGGCTCCTGGGCTTCCTTACTGAAGTCACCTTCTCTTCTTCCCACTCTGTTCATTTCTGACACCTTGTGCACTTCGTCTCTCTTGGTTATCTGGGGTGTAAGATCTTCCTCTGTCTCTCAGTTTGGGGTGAGTGAGTGAGCCCCATACCTGTCCAGATCAGGGGAAGTCAGAAGCCACCACTGACCCAGTCTTGGCTCCAAGAGAACTTACATTGACGTTCAAGAATCCAACAGCCTTCACCAAAATGTCACCATATATGCCCAGGGTGTCCACACGCGACAGCGGGAGCCGGTAGCGGTAGTGAAGAAAATGCTGTCCATTAACACTCACCTGCAGAAGCAGACAGAGCCCAGCGGAAGAGCAGCCCACTGTTCACTGTTGGCATAATCCCTCCCAGGCCCTAGCAAGCATGTCTCCCTAGATTCTACTTGCTTGTTTTTTCCCCCCAAACTCTGCAAGACAGTTGCATTGTACAGATAAATCTATGTAATCTGCCCAAGGTTGTCGAGCTGGTAGGTGGCAGAGCTGATCCAGAGCACTGTCCACACACTGACAGAGCTCTCCCTTCTTAGCCAATGTGAGTTGTCATCATTAGCATTGCACTACCTGCTGGAGACCTGTTCTGGCAGGTTCAGGTCGCAAAGAGGAAATATGGAGCCCTGGGGTCGGGGTCGGGGGTGGGAAGATGGACAAAATCTGAGGGTGAATCAGGATCGCTGCCATCGAGTTTATTGAAACTGGTTACATCTTTTGTACTTAATTTAGCCACAGGCAAGACTGAACTCAGGCTCACTGATTCAGGGGCAAAAGCGGCCATTAACTTCGTTACAGCATTTCCCTGAGACAAAAGTATTGAGTTCAGCAAGTATCTAAATGCCTGTTGTGCTCAAAGGGTCAGTAACTCCACCAGTAGCCCTCTTATACCAATGGGGCCGCAAGTTGCTCCGGCCAGAGATAAGAATGACTGCTTTCTTTCCTCAAGTCCCTGAAGGAATGGAGGCCCTTAACCAAATGCATGACTTTGGGACTTTTTCCGGGGCCCACACTCTCCACTACAATTTAAGAGTAATTTTCACTCCTCTAGGTGTTGTTATTTCTATCACATCCGGGGTCCCATGGCCATCTGCATTCAGGCAGAATGCTCAGTCACCCCAGGTGTTAGCATTTCTGGGTCCCATGGCCTCACATGTGCCATCAGCATTCATGAAAACTGCCTAGTAACCCTAGGGCCTTAAGCCCTGGGTAATCTATGGGCAGAGTGGTCACTGTAATCTTTGTGTGCTGTGTCTATGTGAGCCTCCATGTGCATGTGCTAAACAGTCTTTAAAAAGCAGACATGCTCACTCCACGCTCTCTCACCACCTTGCTTTCAAACAAGCCTGTGCACCATCCCCTTCCCCCCTTCTCTTTATTAATAAAACTCTTTTTTAAAAAAATTTATTTATTCATTTATTTATTTATTTATTTATTTATTTATTTATTTATTTATTTATTATGTATCCAATATTCTGTCTGCGTGCGTGCCTGCAGGCCAGAAGAGGACACCAGACCCCATTACAGATGGTTGTGAGCCACCATATGGTTGCTGGGAATTGAACTCAGGACCTTTGGAAGAGCAGGCAATGCTCTTAACCTCTGAGCCATCTCTCCAGCTCCCTAATAAAACTCTTAAAGTGAGTTTCATTGTATATCTTGCGGTCCGTTCTCATGCACGGTGATATCACTAGAGGCAGGATGCAGCATTAGTGCTGAGCTGTCCCCTAATTGCCTCCCTTGTGTCTTGGTCTTACTATCTGGGCCTGTTCCCCTCATATGCTCCTGGGAGAGAAGATCAAGATGCCTTACTCTTTGCCCTTATTCCACTTTGATTACTGTACTTATTAAATGAACTCTTGCCTTTAATGGCCTCAGGCCCTGGATCTGAATTGTAGGCATTTCATCCTTGGCATCAAGTGTGTCCTTAGTAAAGCTCTAACTTTCTTGTTCGTGGTGTAATCACGAGGGCACAACAGGATTCCTGTATGCAGAATCATCCAGCTATATGGTTCCACGGTGGAGGGAAGTTTTGCCTAGGGATTATTTTGTTGAAAGAGGCTGCTGTTTTACACATTTTCATCCTTCAAAGCCCACATGGAATTTCCCAAAGGAAAAGACATAAGGGGACTCCCATAACACGTAGTGAGAATCATAAAAATGAAAGTTAAAAGGTGCTGGAGAATTGTCTACAGTGTTGAAATGCTGGAACTTTGTCACACAGCAATGGTCACCATGCGGTTCACGAAAACCACCACCACCACCACCACCACCACCATTATCACTGACATTATCTTTCTCCCTCTCTTCCTTCTCCTCCTATCTATAGGAAGGAAACCAAGGCTCAGGAAGTTGAGGATAATTTGTGTGCATTAGGACTTCCCTTCTACAGCAGCCTTGCCCTGTAGAGCCTTCTGAAGGCCTCATTATTCGTCTATTAGGCTCATATTGGAGGACAAAGTCTGGGCATTAAGTACTCCCCCTGTCTCCTGCTGCCTCAGCTGTAAGGGGACTGTGACGGTATCCACCTCAGACCTTGTGGGGAGGACTTAATGGGCACATTCGCATAAAGGGTTTAGCACAGTGCCCGGCACCAGGCAGGAGCCCTTCAAGTGCTTGCCCTGACCGTGAAGTGGATTCCTCTGCCCGCTAGATCCAGAGACCTTAGTGCTTTCTTACTGCTGTGTGGGCAGAGCAGCCTTAGCCCCCTCTCCACGGTGCTGTTTATCTCAGGGCCACGGAAAATTGGACAAGAGAAGGAATGGTGTAGGGTGCCAGGCCTGGACTGCTTGATACGTCTCCTTTATACTTTATACTCACCTTCACCTCTTCGTTCTCAAAGAGAAAGAGGACGAGGAAGCTAGCCCCTCTCTGCAGGGTGACACCAGGCCACCGGACCTCTTTCTGCCAGACTCCACCTTGGAGGGTGTTGCAGATGACATGGGGTTTGACAGTGTAGAAGCGAGGGTTGAAGTGGAAGGCAATATCTGGCCGAGGGTGCAGGCTGCACCCACATTGGAAGTCCACCTGAAACCTGGTGGCGGTGTTGTGTGACTTTTGAGAGGCCCTTCTGATCAGAGACCCACAGACATTCTGAAGATAGACAGAAACCCCAGGTTGATGCCCCTAAATCTGGGCTCTACCAAGTCCTAGACAGTCCCTCTTACCTGCGTGCATGTAGAGGGACCACACCCTGCAGCATGATCATCTTGCCTGCATACAGGCCACCGAAAATTGTTGTGGCATAGGGAACCACCTGAACAGGGAAGAAAAACGGGGTGAGTCGACTTAGAGGCTGACCCAGGGACTCCTGTGTGTAGGGTGGATGTGGTGGAGACCAGGAAACTCAGCTTCCCCACTGTGAAGCTAATCTTGACTGCTAGCTTGATGAAGTTTATAGATCCCGCAGAAACACACTCTGGGGAATATCTGCGAGGGATTTTCTAAGTAAGGATAACTGAAGTGGGAAGACCCACCCTGGGGGGGGGCAGTACCTTTTCGTAGGCTGCTCCCAGACCGAATAAAAAGGCAAAGGCCAGTGGTGTACAAGCCTCCATGGCCTTTGATTTTTGACACTTGAGTTGTGAGAGTGGTCACCTCCTCCCACCTTCCCTGCAGGTGGACACATCTCCTATGGCTGGAGCCAGAACAAACCTTTCCTGCCTTAGTTACTTCTGCTAAGTTTTTTTTTTTTTTCATAGTAATAAGACAAAGTAACTAATAAACCCTCAAGAGAAAGTGTTCTTGTAGGGAATAACCAGTTTTCTCTCTGATATTCCGGGGTAAGTTACTTCTCTCATGGCTCTAACAAGATCCCTGACAAAGAGCAGCTGAAGGAAGGGAGGGTTTCTTTTGCCTCACAGTTCCAGGGGACATTTCATCATGGCAGGAAGTCATGGCAATAGGAGCGTGAAGCAGTTGGTCACATCATATCCAGTCAGGATTCAAAGAAAGCTGGTGCTTAGTCTGAGGCACCGCAGCTGGTCACATTGTATCCAGTCAGGATTCAGGCCGCCATGAAAGCTGGTGCTTAGCCTGATGCACGCTTTTTATTTAGACCAGAATTCAGCCCCCAGAATGGTGCCACTCCACAATGAGGGTGACTCTCATTACGTTGGTTAATGGAGTCTAGATAATACCTCACAGGCTTGTCTAGAGATTTGTTTCCATGGCAATTTTAAATCCCATCAAGTGGTTAGTCCAATGAACAGTCACAGGTCTTCTCAAAGCTCTCCTGTCTTGGGCAGCGATGTCAAAACCACAATGCCCCAGGGGAAGCCTAATATAGCTTCACTGCCCAGTTAGAGCACCAACAGGCTGCTGTGACCCCACTGAGGAGTTCACCCATTGGATGCCACCCGGGAAGGAAACATCTGAGGACTGGTGAGTATCTGGAGTTTAGGGGAGAGAGGAGGAAAGAATAGAGAAGCTGGGAGCAAGCTGACCCTGCTGTGAACTTTCAGAGATACCCAGCAGTGGTCAGTCACCCCCTGGGGCCCATCTTTCCTCACACAGAGGGTGCCTGGCTGTAGTGGCATTTCATCTGTATTTTAATAAATAAAGCTTACCTAAAGATCAGAAAAGTAAAACAGTCACACTGGCCAGACATACAGACCAGGCAGCCATGGCACACACCTTTAATCCCACTAGCCATACTAGCTTACCATAGAAACCAGGCGCATGGTGCATACCCTTAATCTCAGAACTAGAGAGGAATATAAAATAGGAGGAGACAGCTCTCAGTCTCAGTCTGATATTGAGGTTTCCCGGAGGCAGGATCACCATTTTGGACTGAGGTTGAGGTAAGAACGAGTGGCTGGCTGTTTTGCTTTTCTGGTCTTCAGGTTGAACCCCAATTTCTCTGAGTTTCTATTAATCATGCTACACCTGGCCTTCCTAAGTATGCATACACTTTTCAACTCTTTCTGGACCTGTTCCGTCTCACCCTCTCCCTCCATCCGGACACCTTTTTGCTTTATCTCTCTCGAGTTCTTGGAGCACTTAGCTCACGATGCTAGCTTGACCCTTGGCTCCCTAGTATAGAGGCACTGGCTAGATGTTTTCCCATTAAGACCATAGCCCCTTATAACTGGAGCCTCATTGTCTTTCCCTTCAACAGCTCCACAACTATCTGAGCACAGTGGGAGCTCTGCAAAAGGCTTTGCCAACAGGCCAGTAGGTGAACCCGGTGACAGGGTCACAGCGTCAGCCTTCATGTATTGCTTGTCAACACCCAGTGGCGATCAGAGAACCCAGACCACCCCAGGGAGCCCTCCAGGTGGTGGTTCTTAGCCTGTGAGGAGGCGATGGGCGCCCAAGAGATTTCCGGTACTTCAGCCCATTACTCAGGAGCCTGGGGAGATGCCAGAGGCCAGGCTCTCCACATGGCACGGTGCCCACAGTTTTGCAGGACCCAGCAGCACAGTGGCTTCCAGTTCCCAGGCTCTTGGCAGAACGTATTAATTAACTGAGTGATGGAGGCCTCTAGAGACGAGACTACCAAGCAGGGCAAGGTAAAATAACCAGTGCTCATTAGTGGCAGTGCCTGCTGGGAGCTTGGCCTTCTGTAGAGCATTGCTGGGCTGCAGAGTCTCCTGGGCACTGAACGGGAGGAAGGAGAGAAGGATTTCCACTACTCCTGATTGGGAGGGTTCCCAGGCCCTTCCTTCCAGCTCGGAGAAGCAGCTACCCTTAGTCGTTAGTGTCTCTCTCAACAATCCCACCTCCGTTCTTCTGGCCACCCAGCTCAGAAGAGAAAAACTGAAGAGACAAGGACCCTGGGAGCCCAGTCACTCTCACACAAGCTGGAATTTAGCTGATTCGTCAACTGAGTTAAGACTACTCACCGGGTGGAAGACCGGTGGCTGCAGGATGAAGCTGTCAGGAATCGGGTCCAGGTGTTCAGCCGCGGACATGGGAGCAGGCGGGGCAACTCCAACTCAGCGGCCAATCCTGATTCCAGCAGCGCCGTCCCCCACCGAAATTTTCCAGGCAAGGTCTTCAGCCTCTGCAACAGCTGTTCAAGCTCTTAGTCTCACCTGTTCCCTATGGAGTCCTAATGCTTTTTGGAGCAGACCTGGGAAGGTCAGTGGTCCACTTCTAGGACCCATATCAGCCCCTGCTCCGCCCCCAGCCGTGGTACTCAGCAACAGCTTTGAATGCAGCTAGCAGAAACGCCCTGTCCAGGGGCTGGTAGCTGGCTCTCAGTCACGGGCTGGTTAACTAACCCATCTGTGTCTGAAGCACTCCGCCATCTCAAAGGGAAGCCTGGGGTTGGCTCCTTTCAGCGAGGGCTCACCTGGGCCTCCAGCGGGTCAGAGGAAGGGATGGTAGTGGTACACGTGTGCAGGTTCCTCGAGAGGCCCCGCCCCCAGCTTCCTGGCTCCTCCTGCCCTCATTCCCCTGCCTCTTTTCCTACTCCCTTTTCTCCCAGTTGTACAGTCCCTTGAGACCATTTCTGCCTTAGCTGCAAATGCCAGGGACCAGCTGGGGTCACAAGAAAAGTGGGGCAAGTAAAGGGAAAGGAGGGTTCCCTTGGGCTCAGACAGAGCAGCCTGGGCTGGTGGGAACACAGCCTCTGCTCTTGTGTGTTGTGTCTTCCCACAAGTCATTTCTTCTCTCTGGTCAGTCAGTCCCCTTTGTTCACCTGTGGGTCAAGAGGGTGTTGTGGCCATGGCCGGGTGTTGAGTTTGAGCCTGGGTCTAGAGAGCTGTGTTTTAGGAGAGGCCTCCAGGCCCGACACAGATTCCAGTAAAGCTTCCCCTTTAAAAATACCGTAACTTCTCAACTTTAGCCTAGCTTGTCTTTAGTCTAGTTAGTCTGACCGTGGGGTCAGACTTGGCAGCAGGGAATTCCTGGCAGGACCAGGGTAGACAGAATGCCAAGTGTGTGGGTGCAGAAGAGTGAAATAGTTCCTGGGACAGGGGTGAGCAAGTGAGGGGCCTGGGCTGAGGGATCTGGCTGGGCTACTTCACCTGATCTCATCTAGAGGTTTGCCAGAAAGGTGAATTGTGGGGCCTCCACCCCAGGTCTACTGAAGAGAGCATTTTGGGGGTGAAGTTCAAGAATTGGCCCTGCAGGCAGTTCTGTTGTGCATGAATGTCTGAGAAACCCCTGACTTAGCTTGTAACTGAGAGCACAAGCCAGGGAGTTTGTTCAGCTCCTGCTGGGTAGGTGGAGCAGCGGAGCCAAAGGTATTTCTGTGGGAAATCCAGTCCCTGGCGTGTTCAGGATAAATAAATGCTATGTACAGTGGGCAGGAGAAACTACAGGTGGAGAGACCAGTTGGGTCAGGATACAACGCCCTGCACTGTAGCCAGGTCTGGGTCCCTTCCCCCACCCCACACTCGGTTCTGCTAGGAAATGAGGGAGGATGTACTCATTCTCTTGGGTTGCCACAACAACAAAACACAACAGACTGGGATGGGGTTGTAAACGACAGAGTTCTGTTTTGTCTGTTCTGGAGGCTGTAAGTTGAAGATCAGGTGTTAACAGGTTGGGTTTCTCCTGGGGTGGCGCACCGCTTCTTCTTGTTCTCAAACAGTTGGTTGTCTCTGCCCTCTGTAACTTTCTACTTTCCCTTTTATGTGAGGCTGCAGTCATATTAGACTAGGGTACACCAACAAGACCTCACTTTTATCTTAATTGTTTCTGCAAAGGCTGTGTCTATAAACAGTCACATTTCTAAGGTTCTAGGGATCAGGATTCAGCATACAGTTTTTCAGAGGTCACAACTGGCCTGAAATAGAGCAGTGGTCTGTGCTCTCCTCCTCAAACTCCAAGGTCCAGTGGTGAGGGGTGTGGCCAATGAGGGCTTCCTGGGGCAGTGAAGGAAGAAGGGTGGCATGAAGTCTTTCTCTCTAGGTCACCTAGGATTTGAACATTTGGGAGGTACCGGAGTGAGCTCAAAACACCCCAAGAATCCATTCTCCAGAACCAGAAAGGGGTCCTTAGTCACGGAGGAACCAGTTCCCAACACCTGGGAGCTAGATGGGATAATTAGAGGGTGTGAACAGGGGGAGAAAAACTAGTCAGGAAGAGTGGGCAGATCTTGGCAGCTGGCCGCACCCTTATTTAACCTAGCTGGAAATATTTCTGTGTATTTGGAAATTGGGGCCCAGCTTCATTTTTCTCAACAGGAATAATCATTCTCACATATGAACATTCTTTCCTTTCCCAGTGATGAGCAAGTCACCTGTGTCTTGTGCTGGGTTTTCATGAATGAGCAGAAGCATTACCAACCACATTTCATCCCATTGCTCTTGTGGTATTCACTTATTTATTGTTTTTATTTGTTTTTAGTGTATACCTGTATATGCTATTTGAGTGCAAATGCCCACAAAGGCATCAGATCCCCTGTAGCTGGTGTATTGGCAGTTGTGAGCTGCCCAATGAGGACATTGTGGGTTTCTATCATTCCGCTTCATTCCCCATTCCTAGACTGTTCCCATTAACTCCTGTTATCACCTATTTATTAGAATTTTTCCTAGACCCTAGTGGTTGAAATCATTCTCTTCAGAACAGTTGCGCAAATAATTTGTAACATTGTCATGAATGTCTGTGACTCAGGCTGGTCACAAGGTGCGTTGGAAAGGCAACATCCTGTTCTTGAGAAGACTGAATCCATGGTCACACTTGAAACATCAAAGGCTTTAGGGGCTGAATCAGGTCCACTATTTATTTTTAACAACATTCTCTCTGGCTCACCCAGAGGAAAATCAGGGGGGAGTTTTCCTGAAGTAATGACTATTTTATCTACAGCTCTGAAAAAGTAAAGCTAGAAGCAGCCATCGATATGGTTTGTATAAAGAAAGCGAGAAGAGCAGACAGCATGTTTGTTCCTGGGTCATGCCCAAAGTTATGCTGTGAACTATCCATCTGCCTTGCTGAATTTGGGTCAGATTCTCCAGGGCCTTGTCACGAGGACACTTGTGTATGCTGTTCTCAGGTCTTGTCCCCTGAAGAAGTCACTTGTCTCCTGACATTAATCACTGATGAAATGTAAACCAATAAGAGCTCTAACGTATTCCTGGTAGAAGTGAAATTGCTATTGTCAGCTAGAAAAAGATAGTTTTTTTATTGAAAGATAGTATTTTATTTAAAAATCTAAATTTTATTAAATTTATTTTATTGAAAGATTTTAATTTTTATTTTTATTAAATACATATGTATCCTTGGGTGCAAGTCTCAATAACTTTCTTGAATAATGTACCAAGACATAGTTCAGGTTCATTTCCAATTGCTTCAATTAAGGAGACAGGCAAAAAATCAAAGCTATCCATCCAGTAACTTTATCACCAGATCAATAAATCACGGTATAAACACACAGTGGACTATTTTGCAGTCTCTACAGTAACATGAATATGTGGATGTGTCTCTGTGACCACAACGGCCAGCAGAGTAACAATCCTTGGGAGGCAAGAAGGGAGTTCAATGCAGCATGACTAAGTAGCTAGTGTTGGTTCAAACTTTGTAACTCTGACTCCAAATAATTTATTTTTGGCATATTTAAGCACAACACAATTTGGTAAAACTTTTCTGGTGATAATTAACTCAATCCTGTGTGCACAATAAAGCACAAAGTAAGCTAAACAAGGATTTGGACATGACCACACTGAAACTCCCTGAAAAGTACGTGTGACACCTTGGTGGTGCTATAGATTGACTGGGAAAAACAAGTTCACAATAAGGGCTTTGGGGAGGACCCAGTATGGTCTCAGTCACACGGCACAAAAGCCACCAGGCTATTAACCATAGTGGATAACAGGTTATCAGTCTTCTCCTTTGAAGGAACAACCCTGTGTGTGTCATATTAATGGTTCCCTAGTATTCATCTGTCAGCACAAGGACCTCCTTGCCTCTGACATGTGAGTAAGTCATAGAAACAGCCCTGCGAGCAGGAAGTCACCGAAGAGAACGCACAGCGTGACAGCAGCGTTTGTCTCACTACTTTTGCTAAATATACTAGTTGCTTTTTTTTTTCTGTTGCTGTGACAAAAACCATGACCCATGGCAGTCTATAGAAAGGAGAGTTTTTTTGTTTATTCAGGCTTATGTTCCAGAGAGATAGAAGGTCATGAGGTTGAGGATGTGTCTTGGGGTTTCTATTACTGTGAAGAGACGCGTGGCCACGGCAACTCCTATAAGGAAAATATTTAACAGTGGTGGCTCGCTACAATCTCAGAGGTTCAGTCCTTTATCACCATGGTCGGGAGCATGGTGGCAGACATGGTACTGGCTACATTCTGATCAGAAGGCAACGGGAGTGAACTGAGTGTCACACTGAGGGAAGCCAAATAAGACCTCCGAGCCCAACCCCACAGTGACACACTTCCTCCAAGACCACACTTACTCCAACAAAGTCATACTTCATAATAGTACCCTCCCCTACAAACTTAGGGGGCCAATTATATTAAGCTACCACAGGAAATATGACAGCAAGCGGCAGGCATGGTGTCAGGATCTGGAAGCTGAGAGCTCATCTCTCAACTGTGAGCACAGAGCAGAGAGCAGAAGGGAAGTGGTACAGGCTTTTTCTCCGAAAGCCCACCACCTCCAGCAAAGCCACACCTCCTAGACCCCTCTATATTATCAGGCTTCTCTATGGGAACAGAACTGATAGAATGAATATATATATATAATTAATATATAATATTATAAAATTATATATATCTCATGGATAGTCCAACAATGGCTGTCTCATGAGGGGAAGACCAAGAATTCAGCAGGCAGGCAGTCCTTCAGACTGTGTTTCTGGGTCCTGATCTGGTGTTGGAGTCTGGGAGGCGTCCTAGAGAGTTGCTGGTTCTTAGTCTATGCTGGGATCCCAAAGAAGCAGGCTCTAACACTGCTGAGGGGACGCCTGGCAGCAGGCTGGATGAACTTGCAGTGGGAATGAGGGCAAGTCTCAAAAAGCAGGAGTTTCTTCTGTGTTCTTTCATGTGAGCCACTAGCAGATGTTCTGGCTCAGAGTTAAGTAGGGTCTTCCATCTCAAATAACCACCCCCAATACTTCACAGGCATGCTCCGCTGCTTGGGTTTTTAACTGATTCCAGATGTAGTCAAGTTGACAATCAAAATTAGCTATCACACACCCCAAGCAACACCTGAACTGGGAACTAAGTGTTCAAAGATCTGACCCTATGGGCTATTCACTCAAGTCATTATGGCATGCTATAATAAAGACCCCTGTAGATAACAGAAAATGTCTCAAAATTCACTAGCCTAGGAGGTTCAGGACCTGCTCTAGCAGGTTCAGTGTCTAGTGAGACCCTGTTTTCAGGGTCATAGATGGCAGTGGGGGGGGGGGCTTCTAGCTCTCCAGGGGCCTCTTATAAAGACACAGGTCCCACTCATGAGGAGTTTGCTGACAGGATCTATGTTCTTCTCAAAGTCTTTCACATAGTCCATTTACTTAGGGGTTAGGATTTCAGTATATGAATTTTTAGAGAACACAGATATCCAGGCCAGACATTATTCTAAAAATAGAGTGTCAAGCATGAAAACAAAACAAGGTATTAGGGACACAAAAGGAATTGGGGGAAAAAACTAGTTAAAAGATAAGGGGAAATCAATGGATGAGTGGATAAAGAAAGCATAGTTTTATTAAACTACAAAGAACGACTTTTTGCTGTTTGCAGGAAAATGGAAGTGTAAGATACAGTGTGAGGGAGCCCAAACCGTGGTGGGTGACAAAGAACGCCATGCAGACAGAGCTTGAGTACGGAGTTTTATTAAAAGGGAGGGAAGAGAGAATGAGAAAGGGGCAGAGAAACAGAGAGACAGAGAGAGAAGAAGAGAGAGGGAGGAGGACTAGAGAGGAAAGTGGAGAGGGGAGGCTGAGGCCGGCTTGGGGTGTGGGGGGGTGGGGGATATTAGAAGCTTCTCTCTCTCTCTTTTTTAACTTATTAGATTTAAAAAAAAATAATACCAATCCAAATTCCCACTCTCCCCCCTCCTCCCACGCCCTCCTCTCCTCCCATTCCCTCCACACACCCTCCCGCTCTACCCCCATCTAATTCAAAGAGAGGGTAGGGACACTTTGCTTTGTGGAAGGTCCAAGGCCCTCCCTACTACATCTAGGCTGAGCAAGGTATACATCCAAAGAGACTAGGATTCCAAAAAGCCAGTACATGCAGTAGAGATAAATCCCAGTGCCACTGCCAGTGGCCCCCCAGTCTGTCCCAGCCATACAACTGTCAACCACATTCAGAGGGACTAGTTTGGTCCTATGTTGGTTCCTTTCCAGTCCAGCTGGAGTTGGTGAGCTTCCATTAGCTCATGTAAACTGGTTCAGTGGATGAACCCTTCATGGTCATATATAGACCCACATGGAAATTGGAAACAGACAAGATCGCCTGAAAAAATTGGGAGCATGGGGGTGGGGGGTAAAAGGAAGGATAGAAGGGAAAGAGGAGGGGGCTGGAGAGATGGTTCAGAGGTTAAGAGCATTGCCTGCTCTTCCAAAGGTCCTGAGTTCAATTCCCAGCAACCACATGGTAGGTCACAACCATCTGTAATGGGGTCTGGTGCCCTCTTCTGGCCTGCAGGCATACACACAGACATAATATTGTATACAAAATAAATAAATTAATTTAAAAAAAGGAAGGGAAAGAGGAGGGGAGAAGGGGAAGGTTGAGGAGAACTTGAGGAAATGGGATAGTCGAGATGGAGGAAGGACGGATATGAGAGCAAGGAAAGAGATATCTTGATTGAGGGAGCCATTACGGGGTTAGCAAGAAACCTGGCTCTAGAAAAATTCCCAGGAATCTGCAAGGATGACCCCAGCTAAGACCCTAAGCAATAGAGGAGAGGGGGCCCGTCTTGACTTGTCCTGTAGTCAGACTGATGATTATCTTAAATATCACCATAGAACCTTTGTCCTACAACAGATGGAAAGAGACCACATTGGAGCACTGGACTGAGCTCCCAAGGTCCAGTTGAAGAGTAGAAAGAATGAGAATATGAGCAAAGAGGGACTTGTCTCTTAAAGGGACCTCTGCACTGCATACAGTGGAACTGCTCACCGAAAGATGAGAGGTGACTCATCTCATAAGATGAGAGGAAGGTTCGTCTGGATACTAACAGGAAGAAACTGGTGTTCATTTTCAGCCAAATAAGTCAGACTCAGAAAGACAAGTATCTTACGTGTGGACTTTAGGAATAATAAGAACATGGATGAGAAAGTGGGCTATGAAGGATGTGGAAATTAAGGTGAGGTGATAGTGAGAGAAGGATAATTTAATGGTGAGTTTGACCAAAGCACATCAAACACATGTGTGAAAATATCACATGGTTTTATAGGGGGAAAGGCCAGGTGGGCAGAGTCACTGAGGCTGAAAAAAGGATCGTTTGAGCCCAGGAGTTTAAGATTTGTCTGCTTAAAAGAGCAAGGTCTCATGGTAAAAAACTAAACAAAAACAGAAAGCAAGGGCACCTTAGACACAAAACTCAGGATGAAGGGGCCGAGAAGTGGAAAGCAGTGGATATAAGTGGAGCTTGTATACTGGGTGTGTTAGTTCTCTGACTTCCTGGAACTCACTTTGTAGACCAGGCTGGCCTTGAACTCACAGAGATCCCCCCTGCCTTGGTCTCCTGGGATTAAAGGTGTGCGCCACCACCCGGTACTATTTAGCTTTAATTTTTGAAATGTTTATTTGATGTGCATACGTGTTTGTGGCTGCACATTTGTATACCATGTGCCTGCATGCCCGGTGCTGGCAAAGGCCAGAAGAAGGTGTCAGAACCCCAGCTGGAGTTATAGATTGTTGTGAGCCACCTCGTGAGTGCTGGGAACTGAACTCAGAATCTCTGCAGCAGCAATAGGTTCTCTTAACCCAAGCCATCAGTTCAGCTCCCATTATTAGCTTTTGTGTCTCTAGCGCAGGCTTGCCTGGATCTCACTAAGAAGTGAAACTGAAGCAGGCTTCCCAGGCTTCATAATCTCAAAGCCTTCGGTGTGGCTGTTTAGTCAGTAACTGTGGACTTCTCTAGCGGTCTCAGGTGCTACCTCTGACTCTGCGACCGCGGCTTTGCATGACCCACGAATGACCCAGCTCCGGTGTGCAGCGCCTGCCTTTCCTCAGGGTGTGGTTCCTTCCAGCCAGTGTCCACGGATGAGCTTACTGCACAGGCGCAGCGTCTGCACCCACCCCCGCGCGCGTCCCCGTTCCGCGCGTCTCGCCCCGCGCGCCCTTACCGCCGTTTGCCGCGCGCCCCCTGGCGGCACCACTCCACCTCGATCACCCCCGGTTCTAGCCCCTCCGGACCAGGCACCCATGATCCCCGAGCTCCGCTGACCCCGGGCCGCGTCATCTGCGAGTTCTCCAGGCGCGTAGTCCCCGCTGGCTACAGCGGGATGGGCCTGAGTCCGGCCGCCAGCGGGGAGTTCGGGATCCGCCTCTCCAGGGTACCATGGCCGCGCCGCAAGTCCATCTCGAGAACCTCCAGTACCGGCTCAAGTGACACCCAACCTGCAACTGGACAGTTAGCCGTGCCCCACTCAGGTCTGCCCGAGAAAGGGGCCTTTCCCTCGAAGTCTTTCTGGGTGGCGAGTCGCCCCCTGTCAGAAATGGTTTGACAGTTATCTTGACTCTAGGCAGCCCCCACTTTTGTCCCCTCCAAATTTTATGGAGGGTAAAGCAGGAGCCGGGCACAGTTCTAATTCTTTTTTACTGTAGTTTTTGGAGACAAGGGCTTTCTTGCTATGCATCCCTGGATGGCCTGGAATTCAGGCTGGTTTGGAACTCACAATTGTGCGCCTACCTGGGCCTGCAGAGTATTGGGATTAGAGGCATTCACCACCATACCTGGCTTTAGACACCATTTTAAAGCAATAACACCCAGTTCACTTTTGGTTTGAGTTGGTTTTTCGTGGGGTTCACTTCTTCCCGCATAGAAGGCAGTTGTGTATTAAATCACATCCCTTCCCTCCTGAATTAGAGTCAGCGAAATCTCAAGCGCTTTTGGTCCAGCTTCTGCCGAAGCGGCTCAGGCAAAGTTGCCAGTTAGAACAGGCCAGAAGCTGGAAGTGCGGGTAAGATTTATTATATAAAGACTGGGGCTTTGGGTACTAGAAGCGTTTTTTTTTTTTTTTTTTTTTTTTTTTTTTTTTTTTTGGGACGTTGGTTTTAGATGTTAGTTCTGCAGAACAAACACTCCCCCAGGTGGTTAATGCTTGAATCAGCCTAAAAAAAAAAAAAAAAGAAAAGAAAAAACAAAACAAAACAGCGAGTAGCACCGGGTAAAATTGAACTAGGTTGCAGACCTGATGATGGCTGTTGTCATACCGTGTTGAAGTTTTACCCACAAGGTCACTCTGCCGACTCTTGGAACTTGAGTGGGTTTGTAGGTGCACAAACGAATGAAAAATTCAGAAGACTTGTGCTTGGGCATTAGGTTGGGGTGAAAAGAGGAGGTGTGAGACTTTTTGCACTGTATCATAATCTCTTACTGTCTTCTATGAAAATCGGCGTGTAAGTATCACTTGCTGATAAACGTTTGAACAGAATAATGAGCAAGTTAGGAAAGCTGATCAGAGGGGAGGGAGAATGAAGAATAGAATTTATCTGGGAATAAGTGCAAAGTGCAGGGCACAAGGTGGAAGCCGAGAGTGTGTTCCAAGGGCCCGGGCTAGAAAAGAGCTGAAAAGAACTGAAAAGAGGAAAATGGAAATCGCTGGGAATTGATCGTCTTTGGCCTCAGATTTAATAAATAACAGCGGTGTTTAGGGACCAGCAGGAAGGGTGGGTAGGGCCAGTCCAGTCTGATCTGTTGCTGGGCTGGTGTCCCCGAGAAGCACTCTGTGGAATTTCTCAGGATAGCTCATGCCAGCAGTTCATGGCCACACTCCCTCCTGCTACATTTTGTCTGAATTTGAGACCAGGGACTCTGAAGGTGACACCTCTCACCTACGCATTCAGCCTCAAACAGTTGTCAGAAAAGCAGCGGTTGTGGTGCACGAAAGCAAATGTCTTCAGGGAATCAAGTTTGCAGGTGTGTGAGGGATGTCTCTTTCAATGACAAAACTGAAAGGTGTCTTAAAAGCACAGATCTGAAGTGATTGGTCACACAGGCCTTCCAACAGCTGTGGAATAATGTTGTTTACAATGTGATTGCAAAATCGTTTCTAGAGAGAAGCCAGTAATTAACTTGGAGATCCCACCCAGCAAGAAGAAAACAGAGTTGATCCCAACACCTAAGTTGGAGATTGAAGGCAAACTAAAGCATCAAGCAGCCAAGGTGCGTATCCCAAGAATTGATGAAATGAGTGTTTTAGTCTCTTGGTGACTGCATACTGTATTGTAATTTACTCTCGCTGTGTCTAATAAATATCTACAGACTTGAGATATTGTTATGCATGTTCAAGTAGCTTTCCTGAGGTATATTTAGCCATATTTAATTTCTAGATGTTTAAATATGCAGTTAGACACTTTTTGATATTGTTAGAGCTGAAAAGAAAAGAGAACAATGACAGTTCTGGGGGAAGGAGCTGATAGGAGATTATCCCTCAGAAGACCTCTATTAGGAGAGGGAGCCTCACATCCCGGGAGGGGGCAGCATCAGGCCTTGTAGTGGGAGAGCCTCAGAGGAGACAGAGTGCCTTAGCAGCATAGTGGGGCCTTGGAGGCAGAGGGAGTGCTGGCCCTTCAAATTCTGAGACCAATGGGGTTTTCTGACACTGATAGGTTTTAGAAGTATTGTGTGTGCTTGTGGGGGCAGGCTTCATATCATTTGATCTGTCCTGGCCATGCCACTGTACCCAAGGGCATGGTGGCAGGCATCAGGTAAGAATATGGCTTTATTCTGCAGCTCCTGAGGATGGGGTTGGTGGAGGGCTTCAAGGCCACAGAGCAGCATGCTTTTTATCAACTCTGTGTCAGAAAGGGAGAGTTATGGGGGGGCATGGTCTGGCAGAGAGAGAGGAAGAGGGAGGAAGAGAGAGAAGGAGAGAGAGAAGGAGAGAGAGAGAGAGAGAGAGAGAGAGAGAGAGAGAGAGAGAGAATCACATGCACTAGCAAGGGAGTCTGTGATCTCACAAATACATGTATACAGTGTGAAGCTCTTGCCATAATTGAGACAGCATGTCCATCAAACATGTTTTTCAAAAATGCCCGTTTGTAATCCCTTCCTGTCACCAGAATGCCTCTGTCTCCAAGCAGCAGCCAGTCTGCCTTCTGCCAGCTATAGATTAGTTTGCATTTTCTAGAGACTTTGCAAGTACAGTCATAGTGCATGTACTTCATTTTAAACATTTTATTACATGTATGTATGTATTTATTGTGCATGGGGATACGGGCTCCTGTGGGGGCCAGAGGACAACTTGAAGAAGCTGGCTCTCTCCTTCTGCCATCTGGATTCCAGATCAAACTCAGCTTTCAGGCTTGGTAGTGCTGTCCTTTACTCACTGAGTGATTTTCCTAGGTCTCTAGCAGTGCTTTGAGTGAGATGCTCAGGGTCTGCTGGAAACTACAGCTGTAGCAGTCACTACTGGCTTTCACGATGACCTTGTGATATTGTTCACTTAAATGATCCCTTTAGCAGAAGAATAATCCTAGTAACCACAGGTTTTACTTTCTCATTACATAAGAGAACAGTGTCTGTTGAGTCTGTAGACCAATTATTCAGGGCTATAGAAATGTCAGCTGTTCTTTCATTTTCACAGGACTAAGGCCTGTGTTACAACCCAAGAGAATTCCAGGCTCTCCTTAAAGGTTCTTCTCATCGGGCACTGAAAACAGTTCTGTCAGGTGCTTCCAAGGACTGATTTATATTGACAGAGAACAGAATGAGTTGGTAATCGTTATGAATATTCTTGATGTCTTCATATTGCCCAAGACAAACATTCTCAGCTGAGCACTTAACATCAGGTTTGTTTTCCAGTAAGTTTCATGGGGCAGAAAGCTCGCGCTGCCTCCGTAGCTGCAGGGTAGTCATTGCTTTTAGCACTTACGAGTCCCCTGAAAAAGTTACCAAGACTTGTGCTTTGAAGGCGAGTTCCAGTATTTGAGGCGACGACGTGAACAAATGCCAGGACCTTGTAATTCCCTATGAGGGGCAAACTGGGACTAGAGTAGAGGAAAGCTGGGCGGCACTGAGCAGCGTGGCAAGGAGTCCACGGCCAGCAGAGTCCAAAAGTCCTCAGAGTCTTCCATGCCCCTTAGCAGAACAGGAAGGAAATACAAAGGCCTGCAACCACTACATAAGCTGTATGGCCGTCAGCTCCTCATGCAGGCCTTGCATGACGTTCACATATAGTTTCACTCAGGTGCCTATGTTCAGAGAGTTGCGACAGAGACTTGCTGTGACCTATCACTTCAAACCGTGTTTTCATCTGAACATGAGTCTGTGTCCCCAAGGTGTCTTTGATGGGATGCTTGTCACCTGTTCCCAGTGTCACTTAACCCTCCCAGGTCGTTGTGAAGCTCTGTTACCACAGTCTCCATCCTTTCCCAGGACATCCATCATTTAAATCCAAGTTCTGCTGCCTTTACCGTGCTGGCTTACTTATTGCTTATACAGCAGGGGTGAATTAATGCCAAGAGAGAAGAGGAAATAAATGCATCTTGGTGTCCTAGCATGTGAGGGACACCAGCTTCCTTGCTGTTTCTTTTTAAAAATATATCTCTTCTCTTTGACAAGTTAATACATGTATACAATGTCTTTTGGTAATATCCACATTTTTTTAAAAAGCACTGAATCCAGTTAGTACTGCTGGTCTGTACATATGTATAGATCCATCCACTGAAGCGTGGGCAACCTGCTGGGGGCCATATTTCTGACCGATGCTTGCTGGGAGGAAGGCTAACCAGCTCTTTTCCCGAAATGAAGTCTTGAGATTGGCTGGACATAGATGTGGTCCTGCCCTAACCCCGATCTTTTCATTTCCTATTTCCATATATCTGCTCCCTGTTTGTCCCCTGCTCACTGTGTGCCGTCTCTGTAGAGTCCTCATGATTGTCAGTGTTCAGCGAACCTAAGTTTTTTGTTTCCTTAGGGCATTTGCCATAGATTTCCAGGACTGTCCCTCTCTGCTCTTGTAAGCATAGCGTACCTGTGCTCCTCTAGTATAGATGTATGTATCCCCTCCAGAATTCACAGGTTGAAGTCCTAACCCTCAGTGTGGTTGTTAAATGAGGGTTAAGTTTAAATGAGGTCATGGGGTGAGGTTCTGAGCTGCCGTAATTGGTGGTTTTTTTTTTAAAGAAATCCCAGGGACCCTCTTTCTGTTTACCCTCACCCCCATCCTCTGTGAGAGCACACATAGGGAAAGTCACGTGGGCACAGGTGAGGTGGTAGCTGCCGTAAGCTGAAAGAAGGGATCTCAGAGTGATACCTGCCTTGCTGCACCTTGAGTTTGGACTCAGTGGTCTGGAGAACTCTGAAGAAGTTAACATGTGCTAAGGCATCCTGTCAGTGGAGTTGGGTCGTGTCAGCTTGAGCAGACAAATGCGAAGTGCACAGCTTTTTCCTTGAGATAGACCCTCATCGCTCCGTCTGAAGTCTGGGCACTGGCTAGCCTAGTGAGCTCCCCAGAACATCACCCTTCCACATTGTTCCCACACTCCCAGGCCTAGCTTGACTAATGTACCTTGTACACCAGCCCAGGCTGCCTGCCCCAGCCAAAGCTTTCTTGGTTACGACTGAGTTGGAATCACTCCTGTCCCTCCAATCAAAACTCAGCAGTGAGCGCCTGAAGGACTGACCTACCAACATCTCATACTTGATCTGAAATCAACCGAACTTCCACCCAACAGAGGCAGGTTTGAATCTTATCAGACACGCAACTAACAAAAGAAGCCCACATGTCCAGGTCACATGAGAAACAGTATGAAAGGCCAAGACAGTATGTACCCTCTCCTGCCCACATCCTCTAGTCCTGTAGAAATGCTCCCCCCCCACCCACCCCGTGAGAATTACTGAGATGAACCCCAGGGCACAGAATTGAAAAGAGCAGTCAGGAGCGTGATCAAAGAATTCAAGGGGTTTAAAGACGACACTGACACCTCCGTGAACTTGAAGATCATAGGAATAAACTCCCAAGAGATGCCCAGGAGGAAAAATACATAAACTCATGACTGAATGAAACAAAGACAACTCAGGATCTAAAAACCGAATTCGTAAAGAGAGAAACATAACCAAAGAAAACTCAAGCTGAAATGAAGATTTGATGGAAAAGCTGAAGGCCCTACCCCTTCTCACTGTGCTTTTGGTTTCAAACCCTCCTGCTAACACGTCCAGGACCCCTTGGCTGTTCACCGAGTTTATCTGTTGTCTTCATCTCTCTGCCAGAGCCTCACGGCCAGGTCTTTCATGCATGCTGCTGTCTTTCCTTCTGGGAAAGGCCCTCCTGAGCCCCTTGCCTCTAATAACCGGTGGGCCGTGTCTGCCCACCACCCTGTCTCTGGTTTCTTACCTTCCATCTCCTGTATAAGAAAGGTCTTCACCTTCACCCACCTGCTGAAGTGATCTTCCAAATTGTCCCACAACTTTCTTCTTCTTGCCTTTGAGATCTCAATCGGCATCTTGTATGGATTGCTCCTGACTGACCATGTAACCCAAAATAACTTGATGGTCATGGTTTGCTGTATGACTCTGTCCGTGGGATTGCAGAAGGTTTTTATGATTGCTATTACGCAAACGCCAAGGAGGATTCATCATAGGAGCTGGGCAGCTCTGCACTCTTTTGCGTATGTGTTTGCTGTTTGTGCTTGCTTGTATACACAGAAACACTGTCTTGCTCCAAGGTCTGTGTCACTGCCAGCCACTATATAGAAGTTCCTGTTTATGCTTTTTCCTACCAGGTTACTAACAGGAGGGCAGCCTATACACTCGGTATGTGGGCAAGGATGACTTGTGTCCCAGCTGGGGTAGAACAAGGAGGTACAAGATTTCATTGTAGTCCTCAGAATACAAGAAATACAAGATTTAGAAGTTGTTTGTTTCTAGCATTTTTCCCCATTTAATATTTTGGGATCACAGTGGATGGCTGTAGGTAGTTGAAGTCACAGAAGGTAAAGTGAGGGCAAGGAGGACTTCTCATATGCAAATTCCTTTGTGTCCTGTCAATGCTTCAGCCTCCAGGTTTTATTACTGCGGTGTCACCTTGATTGGGGAGGGTGTGGAGTATGTTCCTGTCATTCCCATAAGCACACACACAGGTTTGGCCTCAGAGGGTATGGAAGCACAGAGTCAGGTTCCCAAACACTGTGTTCTACTGAGGAAGAGCTTACACGAGATTT